CCTAGCTCTGTCTGTCTCCTTGACCCCTATCTCCTCCTCCCTCTCCGCTAGCTCTGTCTGGTTGACCCCTATCTCCTCCTCCCTCTCCCCTAGCTCTGTCTGTCTCCTTGACCCCTGTCTCCTCCTCCCTCTCCCCTAGCTCTGTCTGTCTCCTTGACCCCTATCTCCTCCTCCCTCTCCGCTAGTTCTGTCTCCTTGACCTCTATCTCCTCCTCCTCCCTCTCCGCTAGCTCTATCTGTCTGCTTGACCTCTATCTCCTCCTCCCTCTCTGCTAGCTCTGTCTCCTTGACCTCTATCTCCTCCTCCTCCCTCTCCCCTAGCTCTGTCTGTCTCCTTCGACCCCTATCTCCTCTTCCTCCCTCTCCCCTAGCTCTGTCTGTCTCCTTCGACCCCTATCTCCTCATCCTCCCTCTCCGCTAGCTCTGTCTCCTTGACCTCTATCTCCTCCTCCTCCCTCTCCCCTAGCTCTGTCTGTCTCCTTCGACCCCTATCTCCTCTTCCTCCCTCTCCCCTAGCTCTGTCTGTCTCCTTCGACCCCTATCTCCTCTTCCTCCCTCTCCACTAGCTCTGTCTGTCTCTTTGACCTCTATCTCCTCCTCCCTCTCTGCTAGCTCTGTCTCCTTGACCTCTATCTCCTCCACCCTCTCCGCTAGCTCTGTCTCCTTCGACCCCTATCTCCTCCTCCCTCTCCACTATCTCTGTCTGTCTCCTTCGAAGCTGTTTGAGGAAATTTGCTCTCTCTGACTCTCAGGATTTACCAGTTCCAGCAGTTCGGCTACTCCTTCTCCAGCGTTGAGCGTCTCCTGCATGCAATGGGCGGGGGCGAATTTCTGCGCCTGACCAATCAGACGCTGGACGAGGCCATGCGGGGGGCGGGGTTTTCGCAGCAGTTTCTGAATGACATTGTCACCCCGATTACCCGGGTCAACTACGGCCAGAGTGTCAAGATCAACGCCTTTGTGGGTGAGTGGGTGAGCAAGCAATGAGAGAACGTGACTATTGATAGGTATTGGAACTTTCTTTGGCATCACAGTGCTTTGTTATATTATGTTTTAAAGCTGAACTCTCAGTTCCTTACTTGAATCTATTAGTCTACTATCTCTAAAATAAATTAAAGAGATCAAATTAGGGACATAATAAAGAAGTAAAAACTGATTGATTCTCAGATCCTATTTGATATGAGTTTCTCCTCCAGCCGTTCCCTTAAAGAAGTGATGGTATTGGTTTTGACAGTATAGCTCAGAAGCTTGACCCAGACTCCAACAACCCTTTGTGTAAAGGGCTGTCTCTTGTTCTCAGTTCCAGATACTCTTCCCTGTAGTTTCCACTTGTGTCCTCCGTGTTGATGCTGCAGAAGTCCAGTGGGTTGACTTTTGTCAACATGTTAGAGACCTTTGAACACTCTAAGCAGGAATTCCAAGTATTCAAAACCTCACACTCTCCTCTGTTCAAGCCAACGAGGGGACCTGATTCGAGTTCAACAGGTTTTGATAGAATAAGTCTGTTTAAGGTTCAGTTCCTTCAGCCTGTCAGCATTGGACATTCCTTTAAGCCTGGCTGCTCTCCTCTTGACTGATTCCAGAGCAACATTTAAATTCTTCAGTTGAAATTACATATCCCAAGTTTTTTTTTTTGCCTTTTTCAATGTTTCTTCATACTGTCTCCAAGATGAAAACGTTGTCCACATACTGTACATCCCTTTCACTATCATGCGTAGCTTTTTCAAGCTCGCTGTCTTCCCGACTTATAAACGGAGTTAGTATTTTGCTGTGTGCATGCCACAGTTTGCAATGTATGCTCAATGCCATCTGCCAGTTGTCTTCTATGTCTTTTGAATTTCTTTGGCATTCTGTACAATGGTAACTATTCTTCCAGTTTTGTTATCAATGAACATTGTTGTTAACATGGTTTGTGAAGTATACCAGAGTCTAGATCACTGATATAAATCAGGAAGAGCAGTGGTCCTAATACTGATCCCTGTGTCTTATGTTCTGCATCCACATTTGTGGTTTTCCTGGAATGCCTACGGCATGTCTGCAACTACAGAATTAGTCTTTTACGAGGAACCTTATCAAAGGCCTTCTATAAACCTAAAGGCTGTTGCTTGTACAAAAAACCCTCAGTTAAATAAGCAAGACCTTTTCCAAATCCACACCAACTGTGCCCAAGAACCCTGTCGCCATACAGGTGATCCTCTAGTTTGGTTCATTGGAGGGTCATTAGTGTGAGAGATTCAGTGCAGAGCCCTGTGGTACTGAGCCTTATGACTGGACAGCTTAGTTCTTCCCAAAAATGAGACCTGAGCTCACAAGAAAAACGAGACCCAGAGCCAAACTTTTCCAAACGTAAGCACCCTGCTACTTCATTCTGTATTTCTGAACCTTCCATTCATTGTTCTAACTGCAGTAAGAGTTTCTCTATGTACCGTGTGCCCCTGGGAGGGTTTTCCCTGGTGGAGTTGATGCAGCTGCTCTGGTAACCTGCAGTGTCTCCTATCAGGCGTGGTGTCGCTCGCAGGCGCGGAGTCCGGACTCTGGGCAGTTGATGGCGGGAATAAACTGGTGTGTGTGGGGCTCCTGCAGCACAGCAGGGCGCAGCTCATCCAGGGCAAAGTCAGCTCCGTCACCATCAAGCCACGGCCTCTGAGGACGGGTGAGGACAGACGCCACGCACACGGTCACAGATCAGCGGGGCTTCTCAAGGGAACACGTACACAGACAGAACCAGCAGAAAACCGATGAAACCAGAAATGCACACAGGCAGAAACAAAAGGGCACATACGGGCACCTCTGAACTGCCAATCATAGAAACACAAAGTGTCCCCACACACTTTGAGGGACAGCGACAGAAAACTAGAACTGCAGCCAGAGGCACAGTCCGAGGCAACCACCACAACTGCTGGAGGGACACAAGCCAACAGAGTTGGAGAAGCCCAAATGGATGCAGACTGAAACACACAAAGAGAGAGTTTAGGGGACACAGAAGTGCACTGGTGGACATAGAAACACGCAATATGCATGATGCACAGATCATGAATCATGATGCAAGATGCCACCAAACAAACACAGAAGGCTGCAGGTGAATACTAGTGTTTCTAATGAAGTTTATCCCAAAATTGTGCATTACTTCCTCATCCCAACACTGCGCACCCTGC